GGGTTATCTATAAGGGAGACAGAATTTTGTGCAGACCACGTAGGTCGTCTCAAGGGTTTTTCTGAATCTTTCCCAGTTATAGGAAGTAGATGGGTATCCTTGATAGGAGATATTGCTGGTAAAGGAAAAGCCACTAATACTGTTATTTCTGGAAGGTCCTTGTTTTACATAGAAATATAGTTGGTAAAAAATTGCACTCTGTTATACATATAAAAATTTCTCCAATAGAACTTTCTGTGAATGTGGAATGCTCTGCAATGCTTTGTGTTTGTCCTTAAAGCATTCACCGCTGTAAGCAAGAGTTTCATGATCTTTCTCCTGTGTAAGCAGAACAGAGAACATTCAAAGCTGGTGAACTATGGAAGAAGAATGGTGCAGTGATCATGGCTGTGCGAAGACCTGGATGTTTTTTGTGCAGAGAGGTACTTGGTGGGCTTGGGGATTCAGAAGAAATCTACTCACATAGTTCCCTTTAGGTAAAGGCAGGTGGTAAATAGGACAGTCATCAAATACATTGAAAGTATCTGAAAGATCTTGTTTCCTAGTCCAAACTGGATTCCAGCGCACAACCTACTTCTATTTTTTCTTCCTAGCTGGTCTAAGTGTAGAGCATTTTCCTACAGAAAGCATTTGATATCTGATCTTTACGTCTGCCAGGGCTTTCTACATCTGCCCATGATAATTTGGGATAGAGACTACAAAATTCCAATTGGTGGTGATTTGTGTGAGCTTGTTGTGTTCCATGTGTTCAAAATAAAACTCTGCAATCCAGGTAGTGTCTGGTCAAAAGTAGCCCCAAATTAGCTTGGCAGTAATTCAACAGACAAAGATTATCAGCAAAACCCTGCACAGAGGAGAGTGCAGAGTCCCTCACTCTTCTGGATGCTTGATGGGAGGCAGGAACGTGAGGAATAAGAAGTCAGGGAGGATGCCTTACAGAAAATCACTGATTCCTCACAGTCTCTTCAAACTGTTCCTGCTCCATCACAAGTCAGGTTGGGAAACAAAGTTGGATCCTTAAGTTGTTATTGCAGTTCTTGTCTGTAGGTGGGAAGAGACACTTAAAAGTATGATTTGAATGTTTGAATATACATAAAAGTATGATTTGAATGAAGGTTCCTGGGACCAGCCATAATTGGCACCTTGGCCTTTTTTTTTTTTTTTAATATAGCTATGGAGGAAAAATATCTATTATCTTGTTATTCACTACTCTATAATATGGAGTAATTAATATGGTAGTCACTTAACTAAGTGATCAGTTCCTTTCAGTAATAATTCCACAAGTATGTGTAAAGCCCATGGAAGGTGAAAGATTAAAGTTCTCAGCTTATTTGATCAGAAATAGCATAGGCAGGAAGAGAATGTGCTGCCAACCTGCCTGACTGCAGACAGGAGTTACTATCAAAAAAAAAAAAAAAAGACAAAATTGTAGTTAAAACCATTCAGAAAAAATCATAAAACATTTTTTTCAGGGGAAGAGGAGAAAAAAAAAAAGAAAATAATTAGCATATCTATATAAACAGAAGGGAAAAATCTGTAAAGCTATGATGCTTGAGGCTCACACTTGCTTGAAGCAGCCGCCACTCAGGGCTTGCTTATGATGATGATTCATACTTTTCCATTTCCTCTTGAAGCGTCATGGGTTTTGGAATGCAGCTTTTACCCTTTCACCTATTGATGACTTTCACTAATGGCCTCTCTTACCCGTTACCCACTAATGTGAGCGCTACCCCTGCTCAGTAAATTCTAAATACGTGGCAAGCCTTTGTTAAGGCATTTCATTACCTGACTGAAAGCATTCATGTAAACTGTATCCTTTCTTGTGTGCCTGTGGAGTTCTGTGAGGGAATTTTGTCCAGGTAAAAATGACCTCTCTCCATTTAAGGTTAGGAACATATTTACCATGGACACTCTGGTTTATTTAGGTAATGTTGTTCCTGTGGGAACAAAGATCAAAAAGATTTTTTTTTTTTGGATCATTTTCACTGTGCGATGTTGGAGGGAAAATGTATCTTCATTCCAGTACTTATTTTAAATTTGTATGGTGTGCTGTGGTAGAAAGCCCTCAAAATGCTTTGCAAAAAGGCTGATAATGACGTGTTTTTACTTGGAAAAAAAGGGGGGGAAAAAAAAGGGATGTGGAATTCTAGCCTAGCAAGGTTAAACGATACGCAGGCAGTATCTTTCACTGTCCTGTAAACACCTAAAAACAGTTGAAGGTCCAGCACAGGCAAGATAAATGGGGCTTTGAGTTAAAACTACATTTTTTCTAGGATTTTACTGTTATCAAGTAAATGCTCAAAAATTCTTCTTTCCGCCTAATAAAGAAAATCCCAGCAAACCTGATGAAGGTCTCTCTAGGAGCAGAGCTAGGTTGAATATCTGCTTCTCTATTTGTTTTGTACGTCACACTAGAATTACATGTATTTCTGACACTCTGAAATTCAAGGCGAAGCTTTCTACTTCCACCCATTGACTGATATTTTTTTTCTCTTGTCTCAGGAGGCTTCTGAGCTCTCCTCTCTGAAACCTCAGCTTTCCAAGCTGGGTGTCCCTCTCTATGCTGTTGTGAAAGAGAAGATAGGGACTGAAGTGGAAGATTTTCAGCATTATTTCAAAGGAGAAATCTTTCTGGATGAAAAGGTATCAGGAACGCAGTGTTCTATATCTTTCTGTGTAAAAAATAAATAAAATTAGAAAAACTTATGGATGTTCTCCTTGAAGAGCTTGTATAACATGGCTAGAGTGTGGTCTAAACGGAACAAGACCTAGTAGCATTGTTAAGAAGTTAATAAGCTTTGCTTTTCTATATTTATATATCATACATGGCTTACAGTCTTGTTCTCTAGCTGTGTGCTGATAACATGTTGCTGCAGGATTATTCTTCCCCTCCCCTTTAATAGGTAAACAGTATGACAGTATAGGTATTCCTTGCTTCCACTGGCTGTGTGACTCGCAGATGTTTATGATATGTGTCTAAAGATGGAAGATGTAATTAGTTCATCATGTACAGCCCAAATTGCAGTGATGTGGCTTGTCCCACAAAATCTTGGGCCTACTCCAGTTCTTTATTAGGAGGGAAGTTTAGAAATTATTAGGCTTCTGAAGAAAAAAGCATGTCGAATATTTAAAAGCAATTGGAAAGAACTTTGTTTTCTGTCCCCACTCTGCATGTTTGAAAGAATACAATACTAGCATACCTAAAGATGAGTTTATTAAAATAAAAACAAATAAAAAAATGCAATACTGTGGAAGTTAAGGCTGTGCAGAAAGTGAGTTGTCCTGCAGTATGTTAGAGATGTGTTCAGATGCAGTCTATTTTCAGCTCTCTGCCTATTTGCTTTCTTTTGTTGGAACTCTTCTTGGTATAGGGTTCACTAGTTTCCTGAATTTAATTTGTGAGGGAAAAGTCCTTTTAATTTGCTTTGTTCGTTTGCTTGCTGAGATTTTTCTGTTTCACTGCAGAAAGGCTTCTATGGCCCTCGCAGACGAAAAATGATGATGTCTGGCTTCTTCCGCTTTGGAGTCTGGCAGAATTTCTTCCGTGCTTGGAGAAATGGATTTAGTGGTAACCTGGAAGGAGAAGGATTCACACTGGGAGGAGTATATGTGATTGGGGCAGGAAGACAGGTACTGCGGACCTTTTAAAAGCCTTTCATGTTTCCCAAGAGCCCAAAGGCTTCTTTGGTGCAGTTGTTTTGTTATTGATCTTGTGAAATCCTCTTGCTATGGAGAGAGACTAGGATCAGTGAATGAATTTCCTTCTTTTTGTCTCTGATTAGGGTGTTATACTGGAGCATCGTGAGAAGGAATTTGGAGACAAAGTCAGCCTTCCATCTGTTCTTGAAGCTGCTGAGAAGATAAAACCATAAGCTTCATAAGCTGGAAAATAGTTGCATATTTTTCTGATTACAGCTTGAAATGTAGAATGTATCCATTTCTTGAACGTGCAGTTTAATTGCTTCTTAACTATATAGTCATCAATGCAGTGAAAAGATTCTCCATTAAGATGTAATAACTAATGAAAACTCTCATGGGATTTTTTTTATTTTATTGCCCTTCAGGTGGTCAGGATTTCAACTTGTCTTTGGATCTGACTGTATTAATGAAAGGCTGGGTCTAAAATCTGACGTAGCCTAGATGTTTTCAGTTAGAGACAATCAGTTGAAACCTGTCTGTCTAGGGGAACAAAACCCCGTTAAAGCTGGAGTAACTGAGTATCAACTGAGGTTGAAGGATAATAAAAACTTATGTAAATAAAAAGTCGTTGCTTTTTGCTTGTTCGCGAACCTGTAAATGCATCTATTTCCAGGAAACTAATGAGATTCTGCCTTTGAGAGGTTGCCACAGTATCTATCCAGTAAGTTTAATTGTAGTTAACTTCTAGCTCTGGGTTTTTCAGTTTTTTGTGTGATTCCCTGTAATGAAGATTAAAGACTTCTGATGTTGACTTAAAAAGGTAATTGTGATATCAAGGTGAGTTACTTTCATGTAGTTAGGATTGTAAAAGCAAAGGGAACAACATGAGAGCACATGAGGCTGTGTTTGCATCCCAGCTTAATTTCTGTAATACAGTGGCTGGGGTGTTTCTTCTAGAAACAGATGCAGCGCTGCACAACAGGATCCTTGAGAACCATTACCAGACACAGCCGGGTATATACATAGACTGAAGTTTTTAAATTGTTAATAAAAACATTCAAGGACAGTATGAGTTTTGCAAAACATGCTGATGTTTCAAAGTCTAAACATAATTTTAAAACTGTGCTTGTTAAATTGGATCAGATCCTCAAGGGATCCAGCACATTCTTCAGTAGTTGAGGTATATGAAAATCTTGGTGTCTTTGGGAAAATGTCTGAGCTAGAGTACCTTAAGCTAGCAAAACCATTAAGCTAGAATTCGTGTGTGTCTTGGCAGGAGATTAGACTAAGCAGCAATTCTGCTCTCTTTGGGGTTTAAAAATGACCACTTCTTGACTCTGGCCAGATGTCTTGCAGTGACAAAATCTTCTATGCACATCTGTGTCTCCTCCCACCTTTGCCTTAGAAAATTCAAATAGATGCTTGTGCGTTTTTGCTGAAATATACTGATTCTCTGGGTGAGTTTAGCTGCTTGAGTGTTACATAAAGGTTTCTGAGAGACGTGACAAAGCCTATAACTGTAAAAATGCATTGGACTGCTGTGCAGGTGCAAAAAGCAAGAGAGCTTTCCCTAGTAGAGAGGTATGCCATTTTAATGAGAGTAGCATAATAAAAATTACCTTCTTCCCCACCATCTGTTTTTAGTCTTTCCTTTTTCAGAAAAAAAGGTTGGAAGGAAGAAAGGCATGAAGAAAGGCTAAAGGGAGGATGTTGAATCCAACTTAGGAGGCTTTATTCTGATTTCTCTAGATGAGAAATCTTAAATCATCTATGGTCCCTCTAATTTGGGGGATAAATGAAAAAAAAAAACTGTATGCTGCTTCTAGTTTTTAGGTCCCTGGTGTTTGTAATGATGTCCAGAAAAGGCACTGGGTGCTTGGAGATACAAAATGCCCAAATGGAAGTGGACTACTTTGAAAGGGATCCAGAAAAGACACAGCTGCCAAGGGTTTGTTCCAAGAAATAAGGATCTGAGGGCTTTTTGTCCTGGGTCCTATCACTGAAAGGAAAGGCCGGTGTCATGAGGCCTTGCTTGATGACTGGTTCCCAAAACTCTTCCTTTACGAAACTATGTGTGAAACACTATGTAAATGGATGCTTGTTTGCAGTTGGCATATTGTGACTTGGAGTGCAAGTGGAGGGAAATGAGATGCTGAAGGAAATTTGAGAGCTACTGTTTCTTACAGTTGCAAGCCACTATTAATAAAATCTCATTTTTAAGAGGAGGAGATGTGTGAATCACAGCTCCTGCTGAGGCTTCAGTTTTCTTTCCAGTAGGGCCTAGAAGGCTTTGCTACTTGCAGAATACAGCTCTTGCACAAAGGCAGGCTAAAAAGGTACTGGTCTCAGAGAAATCTGCTTTTGTGGCCTTCTTTCAAGGGCTGTTTATGCATTTCACATAAACGTGAAATGTAAAATGCAGAAACAGTCCTTGAAGTATGGAATAGAAGTCCAATAAATTTTAAGAAATTTAAGATAAAGTTAAGTGCTGTTATAACTTAGTAAATCTAGAAAGCATCCCCTCCAAGAGGAGGGTTTCTGGCATCACAGTTTTGTCTGCGTGTAATTGGCTTCTATCTGGTGTGACCGAATTGACCCCTGATTCTCTTAAATCAGCCTGTTGGAGGTCTAAGATAAGGTTGCCATGGCCACTTAAAGCAATAATGTTTTTTTCAAGTGTTTTGTAATCCCGGAAATAGAGGTAGAAAGCCATCACGTCCAGTGTTTTAATGCTTCATCAAAGTTAAAGGTACTGTTGGTATAAAAACATTTTTTTAAAAGGCTCCTGTATTCATTTTGTGAACTGTTTGTTAAAATATTCATGAAGAGTGAAAGTTCTCTGCACCCTGCCAGTTTCAGCAGCAGCAATGGCACATATATGGTAAGCACGTGAGACCTCTGGAACTGGGAGAGCGTGTTTTGTGACTGTTAACAGTGACAGTTCATGTAAATAGCTGGAGGAACAGCGTATTTCTTCTTGATTCTACAGTTACGTAACCCAAACTTCAAAGTTTTGTTACCTGTCTTTCACAGATTAACTTTGGAGCCACAAATTGTCAAAATGGCATTTTAAAAATCAGGAGAATTATTACTGATAATATGTTTCTTAAAGCTTACTTTGGGATTATTTAGAGTTGACTCGCCCCTTTTGAACTCCATGTGAACAAAATACAAATAAAGATGATGGAAAATTCTTAGGAATTGTTAATAGGAATTTGAGATGTGCAGTTTTAAGGAAATAAAATGACTGAAAATAGTAAATGAAAAACAAAGGGACTCTAGATGAATAATGCTGGAGCCTGTATAAGGTTGGAATTAGCTGGTTTAAGAAGGTGTTCCTACTTTAAAAGCAGAACATTCATTAAAAATGTTTTTTTTAACAGTTGTTGATTTTGATGTAGCAACAGCTACCTCTGCTGGCCCAGTTTCTTAATAGTTATACATATTAATATTTTAAAATTCTTTTAACCCAATATATTTGCAACATCTCAACCGCTCCTTCAAAACTACATCAAATATGACATCACAATTCAACACTCAGTTGGCTCCCAGAAGCTGCTTGAATTAAGCAGCTCTAATAATTGAAAGTTTGTTTATTCTGGGCTTGAGAGAAAAATGAGCAACAAACTCCTTTCCAGTCATTTCTTTATAATCAACTTTCTTCATAGCACTCTTTTTTTTCCCTCTCTTCTCTCCACGATAAAAACAAGGTTAAGAAAAAAATGGAAAATGCTGTGAAATCAATGGACTAAATGTAATGGAGAATGGTGTTTTTTACTTTTCCTTTTAAAAATACCAATTATGTTTCCTATCTGCACAGTCATTTAAAATCCATTAGAAAGATGGTCTGGCTCAGAGGGTATTTTCTGTTTATTTCCTCCTCTGCAATTCGTGCCAATTGCAAATATCCCTAGAGAGAAGAATGCCGAAGGGTCCCTTTCCAAAGTGTTTTCTGTGATGCATTTTGGTAGAAATAAAAGAAATGAACGATTTCTTTCTCTGTTTGAACCACTGGATGGCACTACGTCCCCAGCCTAACTGAAGGCCAGTAGTATACCAGAGATTTTTTCTGCAGTAAAAAATTTGCATAACAAATATGCCAGAAGCTGAACACTGTAGATTACTACTACACTAGAGGAATTCTTTTGGGAAAGGCATCTGTTGCAGCAAACTTATTACTCATGTGGACATTCACCTTCTTAAATAAGGGAAGTAAAAAATATGCTGTGTTGAATGGTATGGTCTGCGCTATATAAATGAGTTTGGTGAGAAAAAGAAATATTGACGAACTCACTGTAATCCTCACTGATGTTTTGGTAATATTCCTTTTGGATACAGCTAGTACCTCAGTGGTTTCCTCTATCCAAAAGCACTCTTTGTCAAATGCTTATTCAGTGGAGGAGTGGAGAAGTGCAATGGCCACTTGATAACAGTAGAGGGACCTGGGAAAATGGAAAAAAAAAAGGTGTGAAAATGATGTACAAAGTTAAATCACTGTTTCTAACTTAAAAAGAGGGGTCCAATTTAATTTTACTGGATACTTGAATAATTTTATCCAAATGTATACTTTTTTCTTCTAGTTGCTCTTGGAAGTTTTATAACGGTCTTTTCCCCAAAGCTTTAGCTTTCAATTTACTGCTTTAGGTCTACTGATTTTGTAGCACCTGAGACTATTTAAAGTTCCTCATTAGCTTGTCTGGGCATTTTTTCCTCACTCCTATCTCTCTCTCTCTCTCTCTCTACCCCCACATGATTAATTCCAAGGGTAACTGCAGATTTCCAGAACTGCATAAATAGGAATTTCCTCTACTGCAAGGTTGTGTTTGCTGCTGATAATGCTGTCAAATGTACAGTGGAATTAGTAAATAGTTGTGGACTTGGCACTTTTCATTACTACTACTCATTAATTTCAGGAAATGTTTTGTAATGGCAAGAGGAAACAGCAGTGACAAATTATGAACTTAGGCCTGTACATGTTCATTTAAAATCAAATTTTCCATTTTTGCTTTTGCAGTACGTTACACTCTAGTTTAACTGCTGAAGTGACTGTCTTTTCACTGGCCCTCACACTTCAATGTTTCTGTGATGGATAGCATTTTTACCCTAACTTCATCAGCATCAAAGTGAAGCATACAAAACAGAGATAGCGCCAATGGAAAAGGTAAATAATTTGCAAATTCGCATGGAGATAGCTTTTTCCTGCTATCTCCATGTTAACACTGAATACAATCAAAACAACTACCCTGCAAATCACTAACATGAACCATTTTGCAAGACTGCTTTAAACTGCAAGAGATCCCTAATCTACTGACTAGGGTATACCAAGCAAGAACTTGGAATGCTGGTTGTGCTGGTGATTCAAAGCTAGATTGAGTTAATAGAGAAGGTGATAGCGGGGACTTGCACACTTACGTTTCCTAAGCAGGAGCTACTCCCTAAGTCTGCAGACCTTAACTCCTGAAACTGTCTCCCCTGCCAAATCTTTGCTGCTACTATTGCATCCTCTGTGTTCTCATCTCCTACAGAAAGAGCATCCTGGAGCTTTCTGCCTTGGCTCTGGGCTTCACTGGGGATGCAGCTCAATGCTCTGCAAGATGATTGAAGTAGGAGCTTCTGAGA